CATATGCATTCTGTAATCCATGTACCAGAGGACGACACCAGACCTATCCGCCCCCTCCACGCCTCGTTTGGTGACCACATCACCGCAAAGAGGGAAGGCACCACATCAGATGACATCGATGACTATTTCTACGTACATCCTCCGACATATCACGCCTACCTTGCCGACTTCTGCTTTCGCGTCATGGAAAACCATTTGGTACGCACGAATATATGCGGTCTGCCACGAAACGAGGACTACGTCGCCATCAGCAATCTCGCCGAGTGTCGCAAACGGACCCTCACTCGCGCTTTGGAGTATGCATGCTGCCATTGGGGTGACCATCTGGTAGCCGCTTTGAACGTTGGCGAAACACTGGCAGGAGGAGAGGAACATATACAGACCGTGATAGGTGGAGCCCGGAAATTCGCCACCGTACGCTTGCTCTGGTGGATCGACATTCTTAGCGTCATACAGGAGTTGGATAAGGCGGCCCCGATGTTGATGAAAGCAAGAGAATCCCTTACAGTAAGTTCGATGAATTCTGCTATACTTCCTTTGTCTGACATCATACTGCATCACTTGAAGAGATATTTGACTTCGGATGACCCTCTGCTGGTTCTTCTAGCGGACGCTGAACGCTTAGTATTCGATTTCTATGACGTGATCCACGACTCGGCATTACAAGTCTACATATCAGCTCTCCCATTTACACCCAAAAAAACGCTCATATACCAGAACTTCTACAACGACATAGCTGGAGAAGCAAATGTTCTGTCCGGAATCGGGGACGAATGGGACTTTCGTCTTCGTTCCATCAACGCAGGGGATGTATCGTGCATGGCAATCTCATGGGACTCCGCCGTTTTGGCCTGCGGTACCACGGATGGGCATCTTACCCTTTGGGATTTGTCCACTGGAGGCGTTCGATCTACATTGGATGACCATTCCACCAAGGTCTTATCCGTCGCATTCACCTCTGAACATGGCCTTCTTCAATCTGGTTCCGAGGATGGCGTCATTCGTGTATGGGACATCAACCGGGGGTCTTTCCAAGAGAGAGAGCTAGGACGAAAATGTTCTTTGGTGGCCTTTTCTCGTCTTGGAGATCGTGTTGCCACGGTGCATGAAGATAATCGCACCCTACGCTTAGAGAAAATATTCTGGCGCGACATATCCTCCAACGCCACAGCGTCTCCGACTCTCCCAACCGCGTTGGAGTTTCATCCATTCTTCACGCCTCACAATCCACGGTCCAAGTCTGGCATCTCTATCTCAGCGTCCGCACGGTCTACAAGTCCCAGCGATGCGGCAATTAGTTGTCTAGCAGTTGCGCCAAATGGATCCGACGTTGCGATTGGAACTACAGAGTACAGCGTGATGATCTACAGTTTTGATCGGCCCACCATCTGTGCTACGGTCCCGTTCAGCCTCTCAGGCCGCGGTATCACTTCCATCGCATGGTCTCCTGAAGGTGACACTATAGCATGCTCATTCAGCGGCCGTCCAGACGTCTACATCTTTCGAGTTCAAGACGGCGTGGTTATTTTCCGGCTATGCCCCGAGGACCGTTCGGAATGGCGAGGCCGAACGTATCCCAACATTGGCTACGCCATCAGCATCGCTTACTCCGGGAAAGGAAACCGAATTGCTATCGGCCATGCATCCACGAACCTCGTCACTGACTGCGAGGACCCGAACATCCGCCTCTGGGATACTGTACCTCCCAGACGTTAGGCGACGTCCGGTGTCCCGAGGGGCCTGTCGCGTCGCCTATTTGGGCGCTTGTCCCGGTGTCCCGAGGTTCTCGTCGCCTAGTGTAATATATTCAAATTTTCTCGTATTTTCTTCAACAAATAATATAAAATTGTTTTAATTAGTGTTTAGATACAGAACTGCAAGTACCATTGCAAGTGGTCGTGAAAACGAGAAAGGTTCGAAGTACTGACCATCTGTACAGGGCCGGGTCACTCTCCCTCGGAGGCAAGGTGACTGGCCGTCGCCTGTGTCCCGCTGTCCCAAGGGTCCGTCGCCTCCTCACGGGAGTTCCCACGTTACGTAAGCGGTCGTCTAACGTCTGGGAGGTACAGTATCAGTGACGGCATAGGCACTCTCCAGGGCGTCTTCGAGGGACACTATCGCTTCGTCAAATTGCTTGCATATTCACGTGACGACCGTCGATTTGTATCATGCCAGGAGCATCTAATCAACATATGGGATGCTGAGAATGCTGTCCTGGGCAAGCACGTCACATTTCGACCTCCACCAAGCCACATTTCCGGATCCAGAATCTGGAACGTTGCCTTCTCTCCCGACGGGAAACGAGTAGCTTCGACCAGCTTTGACCACCAGACTCTGATCTGGGATGCAAGCAGCGGGGAACTGCTGCCACCACTTCCTCAAAAAGGCGACCCCCCGCGTTGCTGGGGTCTTGCCTTAGCATTCTCTCCAGACGGGACACTCTTATTGTCAGGGAATCAGGATGGCTCCGCGTTGATGTACAGGACGAGCCCCGATAACGTAGGCGAGGCGTACTATGAGGAGAACGGCGTCGTGAAGTTCAGGCCTAGTGAAGAGTGGACACGCAACGGTGACCACATCATGGAGAGTTCAGGCGGCGTCTACGCGGTGTGCTTTTCCTGGAACGGTGCACATTTTGCTCTTGGCATGCAAAGTGGCTGGGTAGCCGTGTATGAAACAGACTCTACTCATACATGGGAACAGAGACCTCAGCATGTCTTCCGCCACCCTGGGCATACTGAGGTCTATGTTGTCGCGTGTGGCGCTACGTTTGCTGCCTGCTGGGCCACAGACCACGCTATCACCATCTGTTGCTTCTCGCCAGGCGCTGGTTCCAAACCCGTTCAATTTTCAAGTTTCAAAACGGACTACTGGGTACAAGACCTTGCATTTTCCCTCGATGAAACCTACTTAGTAGTCGCCTCTGGCCAACGTGGCGGATTTTTAGTCGTCCTTGATGTCAACACCCAGAATCAGCTTCAGCGCATCGATGTCAAATGGCCCTCTGAGAAAGTCGAGCGGCTGCACCTCTCCTCGGATGGATCTAAGCTACGCTCTAACTGTGGGACGTTCAATGTGTCGGAGAAACCCGACATCCTGACTTGGAGTAACGACCAGGACGGAGTGGACGATACTTATCAGTTCCAGGCACTCGGATGTTGGATCACAAACAGAGCTCATCAGAGGGTGTGTAATGTACCTCAAAGTCTCGGTGGATTCCGGTCCAGGGTATACGAGAACAAGGTAGTCTTTGGCACAAGTAGGGGACGAGTAGTCATAGTGCACTTTAAACATCCCTTCGACTCCTAATCTAAGCTTACGTATCTGTATCGACCATTGCCTCCTCCGAATACGTACCCGAGATACTGCCTGTACAGAGGATTCTGAGATTCATGGACCGACAGTTGTCATAATATCATGTACACCTATTATACTGAACGCATGATATTGTACGATGCGGTAGAATTCGCACTCAACTTGCATAGACCAAAATTTTGACGACTCGAGCTCTCGGTCTCCATCTCTGTCTGCATCGTGAGCTGTGCCGGAGGAGAGGGAGAAGAAACTGGGCGGGCAGGAGGAGGGCGAGGCGGAGGAGTGCACAGTAAAGCTATAGTATTATTAACAAAACACAATATGTCCACATCGAGCCCCCAGCGTCCATTTCGGGGCAGAGACAGAGTCAAAGCGAGCACCGAGTGTCGAGCGATGATTGACGAGGATCCCCCGAGGACCGATGGCGTTGCGGTCCCACCAGTCGGCTCGAGGAGAGCCTCTATAACTCTATTAGTATTAAAGCCACAGAAAGAAGCTGACATTGAGAGCGAGCGTTCCATTTGAATGTTTGTTTGGCCGAGAGGAAGAGAGATCCACGATCTGTCCAAACCGGAGTCCAATTCTGAAGCTCGGAGGCAGACGCAGGCTGGTTCGCATTCGCAAACTCCATATTGCATAAGCTAAAGACGGTGCGTATCGATGGACTTCTGCGAGTGTAGGGTATTATAAAGAGCAGTTCGAGGGGTCAGCATCGACGATATATATTGACAGAAACCCAGCGGAGACCTGCAAGACTCGAATGATGGTGGTGGTTGCACAAAAAAACAATGCGCGTCCGAGTCGGGTCCGTTCGGAAATCCGGCTAGCGGGCCGACCGGCGAGAACCGAGCCAGCGCAATTTAACGTGTGGCGCGAACTTGTAACTTGACTTGCCTGCCAAATTGGGCATGACTTAATGGAACGAACTTGTGCCAGTGGCACTTGCGTACCTCTCACTTGTGGCGCACTTGTGCTCCTATACTGCCGTTTGCATAGAAGACTGAACGCACCTTTTTTTTCGCGCCGGGCGTCTGATCTCTACGTGACCGTGACGACGCGGTCCGTCGAGCGCCGACCATCTTTCTTGGGCCACAGTACGACTGCCACTAGTTATCGTTGTCGAGGCCGGTCAGTTTGTATGCCTAGTGAGGTAGGGAGCATGAGTTTAAGGACTCAAAAGCATAGAAAAGCTACTGGTTGCGTCGAAACCACTCAGACGAGATCACTTATATCCTTGTGGTTCCATACAGAGGTAAATTTTTGGTAAATTTCTACCAAAGTTACTGTGGCACCAATAGATTCAAGCCGACTCGCAACCGACTCGCATACTTACCAAGTCAACACGATGCCCTGAGATGCAGCAAATTATATTGTGATTATCTGCATCTTGTATGACATTCCCTATCCCTCTGAAATCGACACAGATGGCTCTGTAAATGGGCACGCTCTGAATTCTCATCACGGCACCCCCAATCTCGCCACATCACTCGGTGTCCTCGGACGGCGTTGTCACGGTCACAGAGCGCCAGGCACCGCGCGCACAAAAAAAGTGCGCGTTCAGTCTTCTATGCAAAGGGGAGTAATGTTCGATAACCGTGTAGCTCACCAGCGATGGCACCCATAAGTATCACACCTGGTAGGCCCTACATCGTTATCCTCCCTCTCTCATGTTAACGCGTATCTCAACTGAGAATCTTTGTTGCTCCTACACCGAGTCGCTCGTCGATCACTTTGTATCAGTTATAGCGGGCTTAAAACCTCACTGCGTACACTTTTGCGTGAGGTTTTCTCGAGCTATCGCTCTAGCTGGAATTTACCCTCGGAGATTTGATTTTTCTCGATGGGCTATAGATGCCCGGCATGGCGATACCGGCCGTTGCAAAGATGGAATCCTTGCGATTACGTTGATGATATAATTCTCCCATTCCGTTCGGGTCAAACAGAGTGGTAAACTTCACACGTACGGGTTATATCTGAGTGAAGACTCGAAGTCACCTCTTGTTTAACTATGTTAGAAACACTGGTCTTTGGTCATCTCGATCCTTTAACGTACGGTTGTACACATCTCTTCACTCTAGTTTTCCCGGTCAGCACGTGTCCGAAATACCTTTTCCACTGCTACATTTAGCACACTGATCAACTTATGACATGGTGTATGATTCACTTGTGGGCACTTGGATCTAACTTGTATGACTGCAGTAACGCAAGCTTGAACAAACTTGTAAGGCCAAGTTTTTCAAGCGAGCTTGTAGAGCACGCATGCTAACTTGCAAGTTAACTAAGGTAGCCTAGTTTGTCGAACCAAGTGTGATCGTTGAGTATATATCTAGTCGCTATAAAAGTCTCGTTACAGTTGGATACTGGGGATGCCCAAGTCATTGCTATTCGCATGCTACAAGTAATAACTTGGTAGGGTGCCAGTAGTGG